TGGGAAAATCCACTAAGTAAAACTGCTACTAGGTTTAGCACCTTTTAAAAAACTTTTTTTTGTTGTTATAGATTTTTATGTTATATTTATATAGTATAAATTTACATTATTATGGATTAATTTACTCTCATATATTTTTCTCCTGTTCTGGGGAATTGCTGTGGCAGGGAATGCAGGGAGTATGTTAAATCTTCATCTTGAACTGAAAGCAGCAGAGAAAGGGCCAGAAGTGATTTGCTGCCATGTCAGCCTTGAACTTGAAATACATTTCTACCCAGTCAGCACTCATACAAATATAACCATCTCTTTAAACTTTGATTTTGAAGTTTACTTATTTGCATTGCTTCCGCAGAATGCCAACCCATTTTTTGAGCTATTTTATCTTTTCATACAGTTCAGCTTGATCGGACTCACTGGAATATAAAATGCATTTGTTCTTCTGTTTAACAGACATGTTTTGAGATGTGCTCTGGTTTGAGGAATGTTTCTAAGCTTTGTGGGGAATATGCAGAAGGCTTTCGGGGAGTTTACAGTTTAAAATTCCAGAATAAGACGGGGCAGCAAATGCCATTATTGTCATCATCGCATAGGCCCAGGAGGAAGTGGCTAGAGGCCTGGTATATTGTTGTGACAACTTTGAAAGGTGGACAGGGCATGCCAGGCTGAGGAGCAGGTGCACATGAAGGTGCACCCCTCAGCGCTCACGATCAGTGGGACCTTGCCATGGAGGCACAGGCTGGTGAGGATGGGCGTGGGTGGGTAGGATGGGCTGGGGCAACCAGAGAGCCACTACATCATCATGGAAGTGTGTGCACTTGATTCTGTGGAGGGTAGGTGAGATGATCTGACCTACTTTATTTTTTGTTGTTATTTTTATTATGTTTTTAATGGAAATAACATTTATAGTATTTTTCTAAGTACAAAAGTAATTCATGTTCAAGTATTCTGATTAAAATATTTGATCTGGTTTTAAAGGGTAAATTTGTGTAGATTAGTGATGCCCAGGCACTGGATGCAGGGAACCACCTTTAGGAGAATTACATGACTGCACTGGTGTGCATCGGTGAGAGCATGAACCAGAGCTGTGGCCTGGAGAAACAAGAGGTGGATGCGAAGGCCATTGTG